GACCGGTACCGGTCCGAGGCCCGGGGGTTGGGGACCGCTGCTTTAGAGAACAGAGTCCACCGGTGTGTGATTTAGTGTCATTATAAACACACCTGCTCTGTGAAGGCAGCACAGCTCAGGGATGAAGAGGAGTTAGCTTCTATAAATATCCTGAGCTGTGAACATCTCGCTGTTCGATCCATCATCCAAAAGTTTCCTACAACTGCAAACCTGCCACGACACAGAGCGAGCACGGAGAGCTCTGCTCAGAGAAGCTTCCACGAGGCCCACGGTCACTGTGGAGCAGAAACCCACAGCTCACAGAGAGTCTGTCCACAGGACAACGGGAAGTCTGCACAAATCTATGTGGAGATATGGACGAGTGGCAAGAAGAAGCCCTTGTTGACAGATAAACAGTCTCGTCTGCAGTTTGCAGGAGTCGTGTAGGGACACAGCAAACATGGCAGACGGTGCTCTGCTCAGACGAGACCAAAGCCTGAGGACTTGAGCCTGAGAAGCCTGAACACACAGCAGGAGCTGCAGAGGGACCTGGATCAGAGTCCAGAGCTGAGGCCGGCTGAGCGTCTGCGGCGACACAAACTGCTGTTCACAGACGCGTCCGATCTGGAGTTGAGCTGCTTTAAAACAAAGAACAGAAATGTAGCAGAGCTGGTGGCTCAAAGTGCGACACGGGGCTGGATACAAACGCACACGTCAGTGTTTCGTGGCTCAAAGCTTTGATAAGCGTGTGTTTTCATGCCACACAGTTCTGTGCTGTTTGTGTTGGTTTGTCACAGAAATTAAACATCAAGTTTGTGGTTGTAAAGTGACACAACGTGTAAAAGTTCACAGGGTCGAAACACACTTACACATGTACATACAGCTGCACTCTGTGTACTACAGCGCCCCCTGCTGTCCACACAGAAAACTGGTGTTTCTCTGAGGACAGACATAAAACGTTGTGCTGACAGGCAGCAGCGCAGCGTCAGCGTCAGTGTTCGTCTTCACCGCCGTCGCACACCCGCAGACGCACGGCTCCCGTCTCACCTGCCAGGTAGCGAATCGTCTGCAGTTTCAGGGACTCCAGCAGCGTCTTCAGCGAGGCCACCTGCAGGTCCAGCTTCCTGTTGATCTCCATGTTGTCGTTTTCCAGCTCGGATCTCTGAGCACGAGACACACGTGATGTCATCAGTTAAAACAACCAATGGCGCTGCAGAGCTACAAGCCAGCGGTACTTTACAGCATCAGTGCTGCAGCTGTTGTCGTCACCTTGTGATGAAAGTCTGACGTGGCCTCCATCAGCTTCTTCTCCTGCTCAGTGAACTGAGACAAAAACATGAGAGCAGCTTCAGAGACGCGTCACGTGCCCACGCTCCTTTGAATTTACCCAAACTGAACCTTTAAGCAGCCGAGGCGAGCGGCGAGCGGCCGGATGACCCGCCCGATGCGTTTTGCTAAAGCTCCGCTGTTCCTGTGGTAAATTCCTCGAGAGCCTCACCATGTCGGAGACCCTGCTCCTCTCCAGGTTGATGTCCAGTTTGGTTTCTGCCATCATCTTCCTGCTCTCCTCCTGCAGATAAAAACATCAGCAGACGCGTGGCGTTACAGCGGTGACCTCACGCAGCGTCTGGATGTTTCGCCTGCTAAAGCCCACATGGGATCCTCACGCTCACCTGCAGCCGGTTCTGGAGCTGCTCCAGCTCTCGCTTCATTTTCTGCAGGAACAAAAAGATTTTTAGGAAGTCGGGAACGCTGCAGAGACGATCCAGAACAGCCTGCAGATGCTTTCCTCTCTTTGTTAATCTGAGGATTTACTGGTCAGACTAGGACGAGCACGTATGACATCATCAGACACATCGTGACACAGAAGAGGACCAAGAGCAGAGCCCTGAGGGACGCCTGCACCAACTCTGCTTCTTCTTTAGTCCTAACCCGCAGTCATGGTCCAAGGAACCAGAAGCTTCATTAAGGAGCACTGACAGGTCAAATGTGAGCTCCACCATCAGCTGATGAACTTCCTACAAAAACTTCCACAAATCCGAGTAACTGTGACAGACTCGAGGTGTCCAGCTGTTAGGCAGGAGTACTGGACGATTAGAGAAAAGAAGGAAAGCCGACGTACCGTGTTCTCGGATCGCAGGTTAGCGAACTCGCTCTTCTCCAGGATCACCATGTCCTTCCTGACGGAGTCCAGGTGAGCCATGATCTGCTGCAGGGCGATCTCCTAAAGAAAGAAAAGTCTGTAACTCTGTGGAACAGCTGGAGGGTGGAGCTCGTCTCTGGTTCCCACCTGATGGGATTTGGTCACCATGTCTTTGTAAACGACGTCCATGTTGGCCGTGGCGAGAGTGACCAGAGCTGAGACGATCAGCTCCGCCTGGTTCTTCTCGAAACCTGCACAAAAACATGTGATGAGTGCTCCGTGTTACAGCCGGTGCTACACGCCGACACGCCTGACAGCGACCTCACCGCTGCTCTGCAGCTCTGTGACCATGGCGTGGGAATCGAAGGTCAGTTTGCGCTGCTCCAGCGGCGTCAGCTCAACCTTCCTCACATCGAAGGTCGTCAGCGGCGCCCCCACATGGAGACCTTTAAAACACACACACAGGCCACGCACCTAACAATGCAGACATTAAACTTTGATACAATTTAACCAGTTAGATCACAGTCTAAACGCTTCTGCAGCTGGACTCTGATTGGCTGTCCTTCATTACTGAACCTGATTTATGACCGAAGTATGAGCTACGTAAACACAGAAACGTCACAGTGACCGGAAACCAGCGGGTGATTTGGTGAGTCTGTCAGATTTTTGGGGTCCTCTGCTTCAGCCTCACCTCTCCACGTGACCACCCGCTGCCGGAAACACCTCCTCATGTGCACGTTCATCCCGGAAGCTGCTGTGATTTCAGAGTTTTTGTGACTTTACTTACAAACTTTGGAGTGTTTACGCACAAATACACACAGCGCTCACAAACCGGAAACTGTCACACCGAGGAAGGCGCAGGCCCTACCCATGCTGCATTCAGGGACTGTGGGTCACAGAAAACACCGTGACAGTTGAGGAGACAGCGCCCCCGGCTGGTGCAGACCGGTGAGGGTGTCAGCGCCGTCGGTGCTTCTTCAGTTTGAACTGAAGCACTCAGATGTTTACGTGTAACAAACTTTATGCAAAAACAGCTAAAGATGATCAAATATGACAGATCAGTGTATTTGTTGGAAGTGTTCAGATATTAATTTGCCGTGAGCAGGACGAGTCCATCAGAGGGACCGCTCAGAGACAGAGGCTGACGTGGTTTGGACTTCTACAGAGGAGACAGGGTGGAGGCAGGAGGAGAGGAGGAGCTCAGGGGAGGTTCATGGATGTAGTGAAGGAGGACATGCAGAGGGTTGGTGTGACAGAGGAGGATGCTGGGATAGAGGAGATGGAGGTGGACGATCAGCTGTGGTGCAGCAAGAGGAACTAAGGGACAAAAAGTCTAAGAACATTTAAGAATTTAAGTAAAATCAGAAATTACGAAACTATTTAAAAACAGAAATAAAGAGATAAGTTTAAATAGTTTTAATTTTCTTCTCTGAAACTGAAGTTTTTCTTTTAATGAACTGAAAGGTTTTAAACGCGGGAGGAAACTTCAGTGTGTGACATTTAAGTCTAGCACAGACGAAGCTCAGAATTCCGACTTTACCTGTCGACATTTAAAGCATCATTATAAAAGCGAACTTTTTTTTTTTTACATAAATATCTAAACAAACAGAAACAGGACTGAGGACTCTGTTTAAACTCTGTTTAAATAAATAAATAAAAACAACAACAAATAAATAAAGTTCACTGAGGAACTGTCCTCCTCGGCTTTGTCAATAAAGTTTGAAGCAGACGTCAGCAGGCCGACTGTCATGGCGGCGGACAGCTGCAGCTGGTTCCCGGCGTTAGCTGTGGGAGTTTCTCTGCTGAAGTGCTTCTTCATCAGCGCGTAGTGAGTCCCGAGTCTTCCTCAGTGTCACCGCGGTTATTAGCCAGCAGCACGTTAACGTGATTTCCTGTACGCGATAACAGTGAGGGCTCTGCGCGCGTGCGTGCGCGAAGGTGTGCGCGGATGAGCTCGTTTAGTTTGACTTCGTGTGAAATCCGAGTTTGTTTGCACTTGAACCCGAGCCTCATCAGCTGCAGGCTGGGCTTCAGGGGTACGCCGTTTTTCTTTAGAGCTTCGTTTTGGCGCTGCTTGATGACGTTTCACACAGGTGATTGACCGTACAGGTACACCCGGGATGCAACGGGCGTCATAAGTCACTCTGCCGGGTCTGCTGAGCTTTAATGAGTGTCAGGAGGCTCAGAGCCCGCGAACGTCTCGTGAAGCGCAGTGCCGCGTCTGGACCGGATCACTGTGGGAAATCTCCCGATTAAAAACCTCGCGCGTGTTTTTCCGTGAGCACAGCGGATGAATCGGATCTTTTTAAATAAGCGGAGTCAGTTTAAAACACTGAGACATTCGGCATGAATACAGCCCAGCTAACACCTCTGTGCTCTGTAAAACACCTAATAAAAGGCTCCACAGTGTACTGAGAGGTGAGCCGGTGACCTTTAACCCTGAGACATGTGACCTTTGTGTCCATGTGAAGTTAAGAAATGAGAAAGTGTTTGAGTACATTCAGATTGATCCTCTGACAGTTCAGGTGTTACTGACGGAGCGCACACCTGCTGTCCTTTAGATGAACGTGTCACTGTGGCCTCGGTGCAGGTGGTGCTCCCCAGGTGGAGGTCAAAAAGCTGAAGCTGAAGCCTCTATCTGTCCAGCCTGGTCTGTTAAACTGTTGTGTGTGTGTGTGTGTGTGTGTGTGTGTGTCTTCAGCCGGTCGACGGACTTTGAGGTGCACAGGAACTGGTTGGCCATCACGCACAGCCTGCCCGTGTCCAGGTGGTACTATGAGGTGAGGGAGGAGGAGCCTACACTCACCTGTAAAATAAAGCACCTGTGGGAGGCGGTGGGAAAGCTCGCTGATGTTTCACGAGGCGGTTTCTCTCCTGCAGAACGCGTCCGAGTGGACCCTGGACTACCCGCCGCTGTTCGCCTGGTTCGAGTTCGGCCTGTCTCAGGTGGCGCGCCGCTTTGACGCAAACATGCTGCAGGTGGAGAAGCTGAACTACGCCAGCCCGGCCACGGTGCTGTTCCAGAGGCTGTCGGTGATCGTCACCGACGTGGTTTTCATCTACGCCGCCAGAGAGTGAGTGTGTCCCCGGGAAACAGCTGGAGCTTCTGACACAGCCGTTTCCTGCGTCCTGATTGGCTCTGTCCTCCTCCAGGTGCTGCAGGTGCGTTCGGGAGCCAAAGGGATCTCGGGACATTTTGAGCCAGCCGTCCTTCGTCCTGGCCGTGCTGCTGCTGTGGAACTTCGGCCTCCTCCTCGTCGATCGTATCCTGCGGCTCTGCCTGTGCGTTAAACTGCCGGCCTCCGCGCGGCTGCGGCGTGAACGCCACCCTTAATGACGCAGCCTGAGCAGTGGCGTTTCAGCCTGTGATAAAAAGCTCCATGTGTCGTGGATGTTGTGTTCCTAATGTTTTGGTCGAGTGCTGGTTTTTCCTTCACCCCCACCTCAGACATTCACTTCCAGTATAACGGCTTCCTGTTCGGCTTCCTGCTGCTGTCGGTGGCCAAACACCTGCAGGTACGAGCTGTGCTCACACAGCAGCTTAGCATGATTCACAGCTCAGAATAAGCCTCATTCTCTGTCTGAAATGAGCAGTTTTAGCTCCTCCCCCAAGTGGGTGGAGTATCTGTCCTCTCTCTGTGACATCATACAGTTCCAAGAGTAGAAAAAAGTGATTGTGATGCTTTGCCTGTGTGATTCAGTCTCAGCACCTGCAGGGGGCGCTGCTGTTCGCCTTGCTGCTCAACCTGAAGCACATCTACCTGTACGTGGCCCCCGCGTACGGCGTCTACCTGCTGAGGAGTTACTGCTTCACTCAGGACAACAAAGGTGAGGTCCGACCCATGGCTCCTCCTGCTGGTGCGAGTGGGTACTGCGTCTGTGCCGGACTACTGACCACGTGTTTATTTTGCAGACGGCTCCATCAGGTGGTCGAGCTTCAGCCTGCTGCGCCTGCTGGCTCTGGGCGCCATCGTGACCTCTGTCTGCGCTCTGTCCTTTGGCCCTTTCATCGCCATGGTGAGAGGTCACCGCAGTGTTTGTTTGTTACTGAAGGTCGCTCGACGGCGCCGTGATCTGACGATGCTCGTTTGCCTTTCAGGGGCAGCTCCCTCAGGTGCTCTCCAGGCTCTTCCCCTTTAAGCGCGGTCTCTGTCACGCCTACTGGGCGCCGAACATCTGGGCGCTCTACAACGTGCTGGACAAAACCCTGGCGGTGCTCGGTGAGGCTCCGCCCCCTCTGTTTACAGGACATTAAAACCACGCATCATGATGTGGAGGAGGCGGCTGGAGGTCTGAGCTCTGTTTTTTTTCCTTCAGGTGTTCGCCTGAAGCTGCTCGAGGAGGCGGAGCTTCCCCTGGCGTCCATGACGGGCGGGTTGGTTCAGGAGTTTGAGCACTCGGTCCTTCCCTCCGTGACGCCCGCCGTCACGCTCGTCTGCACGCTGCTGTCCATCCTGGTGAGTCGAGCTGGACGCTGAGACCCGATTGTGTTCACGTGTGGGTGTGGTCACGTTTTAACGATCTCCTCCTCTTCTCTGAAGCCGGCGGCGGCGTCCATCTGGCTCCGCCCTCGCGGTGCTCGGGGCTTCCTTCGCTGCCTGCTGCTCTGCGCTCTGGGCTCCTTCATGTTCGGCTGGCATGTCCACGAGAAGGCCATCCTCATCGCCATCCTTCCCCTCAGGTGAGCGCCGACCCGTCCTGTCACATGATGATGTCATCAGCTGACGGTGCGGTTTGAACGATTTCGCCTTGTTTCTCTTCCCGCAGCATCCTGGCGGTGGAGAGCAGAGAGGATGCTGGGATCTTCCTGATCCTGACCACCACAGGTCACTACTCCCTGTTCCCGCTGCTCTTCACGCCCGCAGGTAAACAGGAAGTAGTTTAATCATTACGTTTGCTCAGCTAGCAGAAACGCGCGAGAGCGCCGCTCGCCAGGAGCTCCAGCGTGCAGCAGACTCAACATTACTGCGTTTAGATGATGATGATGATGATGATGGTGTGTTTTTCAGAGCTGCCCATGAAGGTGGCGCTCATGCTGATGTTCAGCATCTTCTCCTTCACTGCTCTCAGGAAGCTGCACAGGTAAACACAAACACTACTACAGTATCAGTGTACTTTACTTTTACTATTTTAGAAGTAATCTGATTACTCTGCCCTCAGTGCTCAGGGGTTTCTGCTCCATCCTCTGGAGGTTATCTACCTGCTGGGGTTGGTTGCCGTGGCGATCGCCTGTGAGGTTGTCTTCCCGCTGTCGCCGTGGCAGCAGAGGCTGCCCTTCCTCCCCCTGCTGGTGACGTCGGTGTACTGCGCCGTGGGAGTTTGTTACGCCTTCCTGCGCCTGTATGCCAGCCTGCTGCTGCGACGGGAGGACAAACCTAAACTGCTGTGACGCGTCGCGGGTTCGACCCCCAATACCTCTGCCTCCGAGCAAGGCGCCGACACGACTGCTCACGGGGCCGCTGTGGCAGGAAGTAGCTGAAAGTGAGCTGAGGATGCAGCAGGAGGCGCTCTGAGACGTCCTCTGAGCAGCAGCGAGAGGAGCTGGAGCTCTGACGGAGGCTGGAGCTGCGAGGAAGAACCCGACTGTAACTCCACCCAAAACTGCAGAAAGGGCGAGCGGCAGTGAGAGAGTGTTGGTGCAAAGACCTCGACTGGACCAAAACTGGACGCACAATGTTTTTAGCAGCTTTGTCTGATTGTTTAATAAAAAGATGAACAAATCTGTGTGTGTTGCACTCTGACTTTGATAAAGGGCCGAAGATTCAAACGTTGTTCCCGCAGCAGGTCTGAGTTTGGCGTCCTGCTCGTTTGTGTATTCATTCGTCCAAAGGCACAACTACTTACCAACGACTCACAAAAGCACAGCGCTCATCTTTGATCAGAAACACGACAAGTTCAGTCAGCATGTGTCTGCAGATTTACAACCACAGTAACATCAGCACAGCTGAAAACTGCCAAAAACAAGAAAACAAGTGACAGGATCACTTCAACATTCAAACATCTTTATACGCTAAAATATATAATCAAGCTAAAACATAATTAAACGGCCTAAATGAGGCAGTGGTGGGGAGACCAAAACAACAGGAAACTTTAAATGTGCACCAACAGCTGATTCAGCACATGAACTGAATCTCCCACGACCAGGTTTTATGATATTTAAGCTTTAGCTAATAATCACCCAGCAGGCTCCTGGGGGGTTCCTCAGGGTTCCACTGGACTTACTGGAAATCAGAAGCTGGACTTCACCACGTTGGATTTGAAGAATAAAAACAACAAATCTGCGACAGGCAGAACCCTTCACCTGACTGTGAATTGATTTTAATCATGTGCTTCATGTGAGACACAAAACCGAACTACTACTCATCATCATCATCATCATCAGTAAGTCCATCCAGCTGCTCTGAGATTGTAAACAGCTGGAGTGCCATCACGTTATTGGATCAAAGTACAAAACTTTATTGTTTTTGACATTTTTGCCAGCAAAGTATCGATAAAGGTTCTTAAAAAATGAAAACACAGTGTTTGGGTTTTTATACATTCTTTAATGGGGCTAAATGAAAAGCACACAGTTTGCTTAAAAGCTTTATTGATAAGGCAGCACAATGCGTGAGAGGTTAGAACTGAAGATTTTACAGGACACATTTTCACCATAAAAATCTGTTGCACAGTAGGACCTGCTAGCTTAGCTGGTCAGACATCCTCAGACCCTCCTGACGTGGTCACACATGTCACCTTGTAAAAATAAAAACATTTAAAACATTCAATCGAGCGACCTGTCGCGCAAAACCAGGCCGGTAGTGTGCTTGGCCTTTAAGCTTATAGCATATGTATTGCTGTGAGAGTCCACTAGAGGGTGCCGTGGATAAAGTGGTTTATAAAAAAAACCTCCTGATTCGTGCAGCTGAGCTGATCATTATGCCGACCGTGTTTTGCAAAAATCGATAAAAAGTTATGATCGATATCTTGTAGACTGTGCATGCAGCCACCTCTGTTTTTTTTTTTCCCCTTTTCCCAAATTTTGCTTATGTCTGATTTATTTTTCACAAGTAGGTGAATGCAAACGTCATCTAAACTCTGGTCCTGCTGTTGGTGAGTATCCTGTGGATGGATACAGTGTGCCGACACGTCCATCATCCTGTTATTATACCTAATCCTTCTCATTAACCTGATTTATTATTAGTGCTGACTGGCTGCAGATGAACCACCTCACAGATATAAAGCCAGAGAAGGCGGATCATGAAGGTTGGCAGTTAGCGTCTTAGTCATCCTCCGTCACTGGCGTTACGTTTTGTTGCTTCTCTGTATTATGAGTTGAGCTGGGAGTTACCCACAGTCTTCAGTTTTGGTTAGATAGGAAGCAGATGGTTGGTTCACAGCCTTCTTCGTCTTTTGTTTATCTGTTTTTCCTTTGAGAGTAACTTTATTTTCATTATTATAAAAACTCGATACTGTGTAGCATGGTGATATT